AACACCCAAAGAGCTGGAAACCACCTGAGACTGCGTGCCCAGCAGGGAAGGACGGGTCAGCCAGAGCGGCTCCACTGCAGGCCCACAGTGGACTGGGGCGCAGCTTTGTAGCCTGAAGGTCCGTGAAACCTCTCTGAGGGGATGAGCCTGGTGGGGGCCGGGGGGCAGGGAGGAGTGGTGCCTAGTGAGGAGGATTGTCCAGCACAAAAGCCCAGGTAGTGTTGAGACCACTGGTCTAAAAAGTCAAGATTAGGTCTCTACTCTCAGAAAACTCATTTGATGATTACAGGGCAGGAGGAGTGGTTGCAGTGCAAAACCAGCTCCACCAGGAAAGATGGGCTCTCTACTCCCAGAAACAATTAGTCTCGGGAACCCACAGGGGCAGTTCGACCCTGTCCTACATGTTCACGGTGAGTCAGCAGTGCGTGAGGTGGGAAAGGAAGACGTCAGGGGCTGGAGGGTGGGCGGGCACGTGTTAACCTGGGTGAAGGAGGAGGCAGTGCACAGAGAGGGGGCGGTTGGGAAAAAGGGAGGCAGAGAAGACCTTGGGAGGTTTACAAGGGGCAAAGGCAGTCAGGAAATATCTTTCCATCCACACCCTGCAATCTTGGGATCTCCAAGCAGATGCTGGCTAGGCATCGTGCTGAGGTGTGGGAGGGAATGGGCGTGGCTACATGCACATATGCAGATTTAACAGGGTATTTGTATATATGTATATTTTACCTTTGTGCAAATACATCCACGTGGTGGCGCATGCCAGGTCCAGAGTGATTGTGGACACTCCTCAGACATCACCAGACACCCTGAGGGCACAAGTCACTGGCCCTGGCCGGGGCAGCAAGGCCTGAGTCTCAGGGATGCCATTGGCACAACACAAACACATGTTGGATATCCTGCTTTGTGCAACTGGTGGTCTTCTCTTCCCCCAGAAGAGAAGAGGGATGGAATCCAAGGGCAGGGGGAAACAATTAGCCCCATGGTCTAACAGACCACACAGACTTTGCCTTCTACCCGCTACCTGCTGCTCTGACGTCACGTGGGAAGGTCCTGGGTAGAGTGGGAGAAAATGTGGAGCGGAGCTCAGACTCCTTCCAAGAGGAGACCGGGCTTCCTGGCAGGACAGAGACTAGTGGGAGCCCCTAGGCTAGGAGTTGACCTTCAGGTCCGGAGCTGACCTCCCTCTGACTTAGAACGTGAACAATTCGGGGTCAGACGGGCAGCCTGTGGCCAAGGACGAGGCTCGGGGGGTCAGGAGAGGAGGCGTGGGAGCAGGAAGCACAGGGAAGAAGTAGACCCGAGATGGTCCCTCTGGAGACGGAGGAGGATGAGCTGGATCTGAGTGTGTCTGAATTGTTTACCCACTGTGAAGCCACGGCCGCTCTATAAACTTCTGCCTTGTTCTCTCTCAACATTTTTTTTTTTAAGAAAATGAACTCTGTTGTGTTACCCACATGCACAATTGTGCAGGCTCTGCGTGGTGCCCGTCAGCCAACTACCTCTAGGCTCACTGACATCGAGTCACCCTAACCACTGACCGGGCCCCTATAGGACAGAGTAGATCTGGCCCTGTGGGTTTCCAGACTGCTGGTGGGAGTAGAGCCCCATCGTTCTCCCTCGGAGCGGCTGGTGGTTTCAAACTGCTGACCTGGCAGTTAGCAGCACGGCTCCTCTCCTTGTAACCATTATGCCACCAGGGCTCCAGTCGGGGAGTGGGGGTGTCTCTGTCAATCAGGCTGCTTGTGGCCCCAGTGGGTGGGGTCCCACAGAAGATGAAACACGCGAGCAGATGCAAAACCAGTGAATTCACAAGCAAGGGGAAGGTACAGGGACTAACACCGCTGTGGAAGATTCTCGACAGTCTGACGCAGGTGACTGAACGGGCTGCCCCAGCTGAGCTGAGGGGATGGAGTGGGGGTGCTGACCCTGGAGGAGGAAGGGACAGTCAGGGAGGAAGCGGTGCTGGGCACTTCCCCAGGAGGAAGTGGGGCAGTGCTGGGTTTTCCACAGGTGTGGCCCCAGGTATAAAAGGTGCCGCACAACTCCTCCTCCGCCAGGTGCGCAGCCAGGTGTGCTTGTTCACGGGAGCCCAGCCGCCTCCTCCCAAGCTCTGCATCCCAGGTGCTGGCGCCACCACGATGGTGAGCACTGTGGCACCTGGCTCCCACCTAGGCTATGCACACCTGGTCCCAAAAGGAGAGATCTAGAAAGGCCCCCCAAATCTTCGGGAGGAAGGGCAAGCTGGGGTAGGGTCACATGGCCCTGCACAGGCCCTACTGACAGCTGTCGCCCTCTGCCCCCAGCTCCTCTCAGGTCTCCTGCTGCTGCTCTGGCTGCCCGCCAGCTTGGCCCACCACGCCACCCCGAACAGGGGGGCCACTGGTGCCCAAGAGACCTCGCGCTGCTACCTGGCCCACGAGCTGCCCCTGGGGCAGCCCCCCAGCCACCTGCTGACTCGCGGCGTCAGGTGGGAGCAGGCCTTACCGGTGACCCTGGTGCCCGGCCTGGAGGAGGCGGGTCAGAGAAGACACCACAGGTCGCTGGCCAGGCCGCAGTGCCCGGTGCTCCGGCCCGAGCAGCTGTTCACGGCCGAGGTGCATGAGCGCTCCATCTCCCCCTGGAGATACCGGTGAGCCCCCGGCGGCCTGGGCGCTGGCCTCTCCCCGCTCGGTGGGCCGCCCCCGCCCAGCCGCCCGCCCAGAGACCTGGGTAACCCAGGCCTTAATGGGGCACCAGCCTGTGGTTCGGGGGCGGAAGGGGGCTCCCTGGAGGAGGGAGAGGGGGTGCGAGCGCCCGGTGTCCCTGCGGCCTCCACTCACCCGCCTCCCCGCCGCCCGCAGCATCGACACGGACGAGAACCGCTACCCGCAGAAGCTGGCCTTCGCCGAGTGCCTGTGCCGCGGCTGCATCAGCGCGCGCACGGGCCGCGAGACGCCGGCGCTCAACTCGGTGCAGCTGCACCAGAGCCTGCTGGTGCTGCGGCGCCGCCCCTGCGCGCCCGACGGCTCGGCCGCGCCGCTGCCCGGGGCCGTGGCCTTCCGGGCTGAGTTCATCCGCGTGCCGGTCGGCTGCACCTGCGTGCTGCCCAGGTCGGTGCGCTGAGCTGGCCGCCTCGGGGCGCTCCCCCTCTATTTATGCGTATTTATTGGTTATTTATGTGGGCCTGGTGGGCCCGCCCCCCACCCCTCTGCCCCCCGCCGCCCTAGGTCTGCAGCAGAGGTGGGGCGGTGGAGGGGGGGCGGGTGTCTCTGCGTTGCCCCACTGCCCCCAGCCTCAGTTGAGCCTTTTTTCCAACATAGCCAAGAGGGATGAAGGGCCTGATTTCCTTGTCAAATAGGAAAAGTCACTGGGTGCGGGTTCCCCCTGGTGGCCCCTCAGGACAGGTGGCCCTCTTATTTTCTTAATAAATGATTTTTATCGATTTTAAATTTAAATGTGTGGTCCAATTGATAATCATCCTCTGGGGACACAAGGGGACCTTTTGTGAAGTTGCCTCCAGCCCACCCTGACTGCGGGACAGGGTAGAGCTGACCCTGTGGGTGTCTGAGGCTCCTCCACTGGAGCAGCCTCCCCTTTCACCCTCAGGAGCAGCCAGTGGTTTTGAACCGTTAACACTGTAGCTAGCAGTCCACTGTGTAACCCAGTAGGTTGCCCAGGTTCCACCCCTCACCAAGTCCAGATTATAGAGTGCTTCTAGATCATTCTGTGCCCCAACAAGCAAACACACCCAGGGGAGGGGCACCTTATCACAGTGGGGGTGGGGCAGGCTCCACTCCATGGATCCTCTCTCTGCCCTGGACAGCCAGTTCAGAGGGCATCTGAGGGCCCCCCTTAGAGGGCAGTGAGCACTCTCATGTCCAACCAGGACCCAGGCAGCTGAGGGCAGCTGCTCCAGGGGGCCTGCTGTCCATGGGGTCTCTCCAACCACTGAGACCCCACCAGGCCAAACCCACCCACCCCAGGACCAGCTGAAGGCAGAGCAGCATGGGGCTGGGGGGCTCGCTGGGACCACAGTGGGCAGCCTGCATGTCGGGCAGAGTGAGGGTAGAGTCCTATGGCCACTGTGGAGGGGCTCTGGAGGCAGGAGACTGTGCTGTGGAGGGGGAGGCAGGCCTCAGGGCTGGCACTGAAGGGGCGGGGACTGACTGGAGAGGAGTCCTGCTGCGCCTAGGAGTGACCCTGGCAGGGTCAAGGTCTTGCCAACCCCAGCCATGAGAGGGCCCCTTAGTTCTGAGAGTGAGGCCAGCAGTGGGGCAGGGCGTAAGGAATGCTCAGACCCATGGGGGGCAGGTCACAGGAGTCCCACCAAGGAGGACAGGGCAGGCAGGCTGGGGTGTGTGGATGTGCACCCTGTAGATAAACACTGGGAGGGTGACTCAGGCTGCAGGGGGACAGGCCAGAGACCCCAATAACAGCCAGATGTTGGGGACACTAGAGGCCTCCCTCACCTACTTCACCTATACGCTGAAAACAGCTCTCCACCCCCATCCCGTGTGGCCATGGCTGTGCCCCCCTGGGGTCTGAGGGATGAGGTAACAAACACCCCCCTCCCCAAAACCTGGAAGGATTCTAGGTCCCTCCCATGCATGGCCATGCACCCAAAGGTCAACTGTCGCAACCTCCCCAATTCTCCCACAAAGAAGGGAGACCCAGGCAGCGCTGCTTGGTCCCTTTATTGCTTGTGGTCGAGGGTGCCACCTGGTGGCTGCGGCGGGGAGGGGAGTGTTACACAACCTCGTCGGTCACCGGGATGGGGTTGGTCTGGCCGCTGTCCCCACCTGGGGGGCCCTCCGCCTGCCCTTCGCTGGGCTGCTTCTTGCGGGCTTCAGCTGGGGGCCGGGGCGGCGGATTGCTGGGAGGCTGCTTGATGGTGCCGCCCACCTGCGGTGGGTCCTTGGGCTTCTGCTCGATGGGGGTCCACTGCTCTCCTCGGATGGCTGCCTGGGGACAGGGTCACGCAGGTCACCCACCCCACCTGCACTGGTGGCCCAGAGGCTGAGTGCTGCCCCCCAGACCACAGAGCAGGACGGGCCTCCTGACCATCAGGCAGGTCCTCTCACACTGGTGTGGGGATTCCGGGAAAGCCCTGGAGGTCACTTTGTGGTGTGAACCTCTCTTTCTTCACAGGTCAACTCCAAGGGAGGGAACGGAGGAGGGGCAAGCCAGGGAGCAGGACCCCTCTTCTCCGCACTTGGCCCCCTCCGCACATGGGGGGTGCAGCAAGTCCCTAACAAACCTGCCTCCGAGTCATGCAGGGGAGGCTGTGCATCCTTGCATGGGAGCAGGGAGCCTCATCTTTCTCCCCAGGGGCTACGAGTGGGTTTGAACTCCCAGCCTTGCAGTTGGCAGCCCACTACCTAACCCTCAGCACCCTCAGTGCTGCTGGGGAGGGTCTAACCTAAAAGGCAGGCTCCACACCCCAGAGCAGTCGTTCTCAACCTGTGGGTCATGACCCCTTTGGGAGGTCAAACAACCCTTTCACAGGGGTCACCCGATTCATAACAGTAGCAACATTACAGTTATGAAAGAGCAATGAAAACAGTTTTAAGGTTGGGGGGTCACCACCACATGAGGAGCTGTCTGAAAGGGTCTTGGCATGAGGAAGGTGGAGAACCCCTGCCCAGAGGCTCAGATTCAACTGGCTGGGGCATTTTGATTTTGTCTCTGTACTATTTGATCAACACAGGCAGGCGTGGCATCCAACGAGGGGGACTAAGAAAAGTTAATGGACCCCCACCACCACACACACACACACACACATACTTTGAGCTTCTCATGCCCTGGTGGCACTGTGTTTAAGTGCTCCGCCCCAGCTGAGAGGTGGCAGTTTACATCCACCAGCCGCTCACTCCCCAAGAAGTGGCCATCTGCTTCCGTGAGGGTTAAGCCTCGGAAAGCTGCCTGGGTGGTCAGTTCTAAGCCACGCCGACAGGCTCGGCTTCTTGGTGCTGTTGGTTCAGTTGTTTACATACTTTATGGGGCCGTGGAGGAGGATGCCATGCTTGGTCAAGTGGAGGGCAAGAAAGGAGGCGGGCCCCGGACAAGGGGGATGGACACAGGGGCTGCAGCAGTGGACCCGAGCCCAAGGACGGTGGTGAGGACCGTCCTGCTGTGCAGAGGGCCGCTGGGCCTGGAAACTGACTCCATAGCACCTGACAACCGAGTGTGAACCAGGCGACTCGCCGGGCTGCACCCGCCAGGCTGGTAGTCTGAAACGGCCAGCCACAGCCTTGGGGAAAGAAGAGGCTGTGTCCCCCCAGAGACTGAGGGAGGGGTCCTGCGCTGTCCTGTGGCAGGGGTGGGGTGGAGTGTGATCATAAGATGACCTTCTGGGACCTGCACCATTTTGTCTTGAGCGAAGTGGACAGAGGAGAGTGTAGGCGCCTACTTCTGCGGCCCAGGGCATGAGGGGCCTTTTACAAAGCAGAGACCATAAAGCAAATACTGCAGATGGACGGATGGACGGACTAACAGACAGTGGTGTCCTGTTCAAGGAATACCTTCGAGGCCAGAGTGGCCAACCCTCCACACAAAGGCCTCCTCCCACAGGGTGACAGTCCCATTACTTCTCCCACACCTGCTTTTGTGTGCCGGCCACTCCCCTGTTAAAAAGAGGTTGTTTTCAAAAAGCACATCAAGATGACAAAACGCGCCCTGTGTGGGAGGGAGGGGTGGGCACAAGGCAAAGCTACGACGGTAATAGCAAAGCTGCCTGTGGACTCCCTGCGCTGCCAACAAGGAACGCAGCAAGGCCCGCAGGGGGCGGGCCAGGCCCAGGAGCAGGGCTCGCCAGGAAGAGGAGAGCAGAAGCCCGCGGAAGTGTCCACACTCAGCTGGTCAGAGAAGCAAGTCCACACCGGCCCTCGCAGGTCAGCTGCAGAAGGCCCGGGCTGGTGCAGAGGCTGAGTAGGCCCAGCAATTCCGCTCCAAGCTCAACCCAGGGACACGGACACGCAGGTCTGGAGGGAGGGCTCCCTGTGGCCACGCACGGAGAGCTGGGACGAGGGGGTGGCCCTAGGAGGGTGCAGAGCTGCTGGAAGGACTTACCAGCGCTGGGTGGAGAGACACATGAGCAGACATCAGAGACTTGAAAAACAGGACTCCATTTATATAAACACAAATGTGCACAAAGCAACGGCACATTTCACAGGGACACAACATGCATCTGCACACACAGATACACACGCACATGACAGCTGCCTGCCCTGGAGATATAAAGGGAAAAACAGACAGACCCAAGGACCTGAGCCTCGCCCTGTCCAGGCCTGCTGGGAAACTCCCGAAATTCCGCCCAGCTCCGACCCGTGTCCCAGGCCCTGTCCTCAGCGGCACCTAGAGGTCCCTGTGGGCACTCACCCGTGCTGCCCTTTCAAGGATGAGAAGGCGCCACACAGCCACAGCCTTCCTCCTGCCGTGAGGCCATTCTAAGGCTCAGGCAAACTCAACTGTTTGCATCAGTGCTGCTAACAAGTGTCTGCCAGAGGTCTCCCCCACCCACCCAACACTGGAGAAAGATGGTCCAGAGGGCCAAGGAGCCCCATAAGGTGGGTTCAGAACAGGCCGTGTGAGCTCCCGAGCTTCTAGGCAAGTGTCTGTAGGGACAGTGGGGCCCAGCCCTTGTCCTCTGCTGGGCAGGCAGGGTGAGATGTGGCGAAGGGCCCGGACACCTGAGATGTTCACGAGGGTCCTCCGCAGGACCCTGCCTGCTCCTAGCAAGATCCCCACGAGCCCCGGCCGGCCTTGCCTCAGCCTGAGAGCAGCTGTGAGGAACAGGCTGTCACGGGCCAGGGCACCACTTACCAGCAAGTAGATGCCACTTGCGATGGCCAAGCAGGCAGTCCCCAGGATGGTGGCAAGCAGGAAGCCTGCAGGCACGGACAGCCTGGGGAAGGGCAGGGTGCAGCAGGAAGGACAGTCAGCAATGAACTGGAAGCCCCACTCCTAGGGTAGAGGCTTCGAGATCTCAGGACAGAACCGTAGTCATGTGATGTCCCACGGGACTCCAGACCAAAGGAATGCCTAGCCCTGCCAAGGTTTGGCTGTAGGCCACTAGCCCATGGAATCCAGCCACCATGATGGGAAGAAGCCCAAGCACCCATGAAGAGGCCTCATGTGGGATTTGGACCTTGGATGAGCACTAAACCACCCAGCACAGGCAGAGATGCACTCGCATGCCCCACCAGCAGCAGTGCAACTATGACTGGCTCAAGCCTGCAGGCTGGGTGCATTGACACACAGCAATAGGACACTGAGAGAGAGTTTGGGAACCCCTGTCCGAGCTTGAGGCTTTTGTTGGGAAAAACAAATGGGTAGGGATGGGGGTCTGACTTGGCCCGGGGTCTCCTGCCCAGGTCACCCGACTAGTAGGGAGTGCCTGCTCGCCAGCCTCCTGGTTCCCAGAGCAGGGCAAGGGCAGTGGTAAGGACTCACGCGAGGTGCAGGAAGGCCCGGATGTAGTAGTTCCTGGTGAGAGGCCCGAACATCTTCACAACAGGTGTCATATATTTCTGTCCACTAGGCGGAGGGCAGGGCCAGGGGGACAGGCAGCAGGGTGAGTACCCGTCCCACTCAGGACTTCCCGGCCCTCCTCCAGGAACCCCAAGCCTCTTTCATCTCAGGGACCACAAACTGAGTTTGTCCAAGGGACAGGCTCCTGCAGGGGCTGGCCAAGCGCTCATGCCTGTGCACGGTGCTGGGCCAGCACCTCCAATGGACTCCTGGGCACTGCGGGACTCACCAGCGCTCCATGGTCGACCCCTTCTTCCTCTTCCCACGGGGGTACTCCAACAGGCAGATAAGGACCCCCGCCACGCTAAGCACTCAGTTAAGGAGAAGTAAGGGGGGGGGGGGGGGGGTGACAGACAAGCAACACAACAGCTCATGGAGAGGGAGAGTCTCAGCCACCTGGGGTCACTCGGCCAGGACACAGGTCTGACCTCCCCCCCACCCCTCAGCCCCATCCTGCTCCCTCCCATCCTCAACCTGCCCTGGCTTCCTGTGATGAGTGTGCAGGGGCTAAAGGCTGGACCAGCTGGGCAAAGGAGGACAGGGCCAGCCAGGGACCCCAGTGTCTTCCCCCTGGGGCTGAGGACTGCGCCATCGCCCGCTGGCCTGGGTCAGGGCTGCAATCACCCTGTGTGATGACTGCAGACATCATGGGTCCACTTGGGCAGGCCCGCCCTGCCCCCGGTGCCCACTGCAGACCCTGCTGTCCTGAGCTCAAGCTCTGTAACCTGAACAGAATGGGGTGAGAGCACCCTCAATGATGGTGAGCCATACCCACTGTGGGCACCCGCTGCCCCATCAAGTCCCACTGCTGGAATCTTCAGCCACGCCCGGCCCGCCGGCACAGGGTGGCTGCTGCAGGCAAGGATACATGGAGTACGCCCCGAAGTACCACTGGGTGAATTGGCCAGCCGTAGCCACAATGCCCCCTGAGATGAGGACTGTGGGCAGAGGAGAAGCTCGTTAGTTAGGGAGCCCCCCTGCCCACTGGGGGGCCCTCCACCCAGTCTGGTGGCACACGGAGGGTTAAGAACCCAAAGGTGGCCCCCAGAGGCACATCAGCTTCCGAAACTTGTGCATAAACAGGTGCCATCACCAAACGGCAGAGAAGGCAGCACCTGAGAACATCCCCCAGGGGCACAGGGAGGCTTGTCCCCATCACCACCCACCCTGTTTCTCAGTTTGGCCTTTTTATGGGAGACAGTGGTGGTGTTGGGTGATTCCAATTCAGAGTGACCCCACAGGGCAGGGCAGAGCCTCTCAGGCTGCAATGTAGCACCAGGGATGAGGCCTTGGCCTGCTGCCCACAACATTGTTGGTTCAAACCCCAAAGCTGCTCCGAGGGAGCAAAATGTGGCTGCATGCTCCCGTAAAGACAAGCTCCCTCAGACACCCTGTCCAGCATCTGAGAGTCTGAATGGGCTCTGGCCGCCAGCATGAGCCCGCTCAGTGCTCTGCCCGGAGGCTCCTCCCACTTCTTATCCATAGTCTAAGTCGGGGCGCAGCATTTGGGGGCTGAGATGCAGAGCTTGGCTTTCTTGGGTACCCATGGGCCCACTGTTGGCCTTCATCACCTTTGGGGGTGTCGGGTCCCCAGCTGTGTGGTCTGTCATCAGTGTGTGTATGTTGGGGAGGAGTGACACACAACCAGACTAGCTTCAAAATGCTGGGAGGGAGGGTGCTCAGTGCACCCTGGGCACAAGGCTGGGAGCACCTACCCCTGAAGGCTGTCTTCAAGGTAGCTGGGGGCTGACAGGGGCATTCAGGGGGCGTCTGGGAGGATTATGGAGAGCTGAGACATGGTGGGGGGGTCATGGTAGGAGACAGCTGGGGCTTGGAGACTAGGGCAGGAGACACTGGGGCTCAGGGGTGCGCCACCAAGTCCAGAACCCAGGAGACCTGAAACACGTCGACCCCCCCAACACCAGCTCTTCCCCAACAACGCCTCCCCCTCCAAACCCGGGCCCCCGCAGGCCTGTTCTTCCCTTTTCCCGCCTAACGCCTTTGCCCCACCAACACCTGGTTCCCCATTGCAACTTCCTCTCCCGGCGGAGGGGTCCCCGCGCGAGCGGAGGGTGAACCGCCCAGAGCGGGTTGGGGGTGGGGAGCTGCGGCGCAGCCTGGGGGTCGCTGAACCCCTTCTTCCCGGTCCGCGGCAACTCGCGGTCTTTGAGACCGCGCCCCCGCTGCAGCGCGGTGTCCAGCCTCCGCGGGCCGGGTCTGCAGCCCGGGGTCGGGACCCGCTCCTCTGGTCTCCAGCAAAGCCTTCCCCCAGACTC